CTGTATAGATGAGTCTTTAGATCAAAGAGATAAAAAAGAAGAATCCAAATCTGGTATGCACCCAAATGTTAACCTCAGCTACAAACAAAAAAAAAAAAAAAAACTTGAAGACCATAACAGAGTGCTACAGACCATGGTGAGTGGGCAGCCAAAGACGGAGGAGTGAAGAGGAGAAGAAGTAAGATATTGAGCTGGAGGGCACAAGACTTTAACTATAAAAGGGATGCAAGCTAATTCTTCGTGTGTATGTGCGTGTAAAAGTATGTCTGTGTGTGTGTGTGTGTTTAGAGGTGATGGAATGTTTTCATGCTGCCAGGGAAGGAAGGGAGGGAGGGATGGAGGGAGGGAGGGAAGATGCAGAAACACAAGAAAGCAGTTTCCTGAAGAGATGGGGAGAGGAGGACCCTCACATCACAGAGACCCTCATTCATCCAAGTGATTTCTGATTCAGGTCCTGCGATGGGGGAGGGAGCCATAGCCCAGAACTCTTCCTGCAGGTCCAGACCCATTGGCCTGAGCCACAGATCCTCTTGTCCAGCTCATTGGACCCCTTGCTCATCTCTGCCCAGTCATCACCACCAACCTGCTCTTCCTTCCTGTCCCCATCTCAGGGACGGCTCCATCCTCCCCCAGCCCACCAGGCCAGAGGACTGTTCTTGTCCTGGACAACCCCTCCACCCCATAGCCCATCAAGCCTCATCTATTCTTTCTGCCTCCTGCCTTTTCCCTTCAGCCTCTGGCCTAATCCAGGCTCCCTCCTCTCCCACCTGAGTCCCTCCACAATCCACCTTCTGGGCTACTGGCTTCCAGTCTTATTCCTCCAGTTCTGGCTCTAGCTCTGACTCAGTCCTCCCATGCTCTAAACCCTCCATGGCATCCTAATACCTGCTCCTGGCCCCCCAAACAAAGTCCAAGCTCCTCAGCATGGCCTCTGTCCACCTCTTCATCCTCTTCAGTCTGACTGGCCTTCTGCCTGGGCACCTACAGACAGTGATGCTATATATATTGTATATTATTGATTTCAGAGAGGAAGGGAGAGGGAGAGAGAAACATCACTGATGAGAGAGAATCATTGACAACTGCCTCCTGCACACCCCCTACTGGGGTTTGAGCCTGCAACCCGGGCATGTACCCTGACCCAGAATCCAACCATGACCTCCTGGTTCATAGGTCCACGCTGAACCAATGAGCTACCGGCTGGGCCAGGCAGTAATACTCTTGCATGCCTCCCTGTCTTTGCTCATGCTGAGATGCCCTCCCCACAGGCTGTCCTGCACCCTTGCTTGGCACCTCCTGCTCCTCCAAGATCCAGCTGCAATGGCCCCTCTGGAAACCCTTTCCTGACTCACCAAACCTCAAAAGACCCTTACCTCTGCACATTCCTGCACATCACTGTGTGCGTCTGTTCTGCCATCTGACCCGGGCCTGACTCATCTTGGTCACCACCACTGCCCAGCATGAAGACTGGCACCCTGGAAGCCTCCGGAAATATTTAAGTAATGGGTGGGTGAAAGTGTGAATGGGTGGTGTGGGGGTTATATGAGGAAATCAGTGAGAGAATCAATGAAGGTAGGAAGGACTGAACGGACCGGTGGGCAGGGCAGAGAGGTGCAGACAAGAAGAATCAGATTTAGGGTGGGAGAAATGGAATGGACCGAAGAATACCTGAGATTCGGTTTCTCTAACAAAGCAAAATGGGCGGGGGCCCACCTAAACTCCACTTCAAGCCTCACCACGCCCACTGCTTCCCCCGGAGCTAAGTCCAGAATCCCAACACGGGGCGTGCTGGCAGGGCGTACCGGCCGGCCGGACCCACAGAGCCTGCCCTCTCCACCGGCTCCAGTTCCCCCGAGCCCCGGGACTCCCACCCTCCCCTCGGGTGCCCCGGCGATTGGCAGACTGGCAGGACGCGCGGGGCCCCGCCCACTAAGGAACGCGCTCTGAGTGGCCCAGGCTAGTAGGAGACGAGTGTCTATCGGCTGGATAATAGTGAATGATGTCACGAGTAGCTTATCACAGCTGGGCTCCGTGTCAGACCCGCCTCTGGCAAAACAACCCGGGAGGTAGTGGAGAGCGTGTTCGACTGCAGAAGAGAGAAGTCAGTGGGGTTTCTGGCTGCATGAACCTCGACTGTTCGCTGGCATGACCCTGGGTCCTAAGGAAGGATGGAGACTTGAGAGAGGAGGCTGGGGGCCAGAGGGAGGAGGGGATTGCGGAGGAGTAACTAGGGGCCTAGACTCCTGGGTCTGGGAGGAGGAGAAGGCTGAGAGCCTGAACTCCTGGACTTTGAGGGAGGAGGGAACTGGGAACCTGAAAGGTTGGGGTCTAGGGATGGGGACTCCTTGGGCCCAGGAGTCACTGGCCTGCCCACGGATGACAGATTCGAAGTTCAGTATTTTATGTGGCTCCTTATGGGATTGGAGCCAGGCTTGTCCCCAGGCAAGTGTTCTGGGTTGTGAGGTGGGGCTTGACTAGAGATGATGTAGAGGCTTAGGAGAAGCCCTGACCTCAATATGCCCTTTCCTCGTCCCTAAAAGGGAAGTCAGGGGCAGGGTGCTGTCTGCGAAAGGAACCCACAGAGTGGGAGGAGACTTGAAACTCACGTGGAGACGAAAAGAAAAGCATAGATAGGAATGGAGAGATTAAGATTTTGAAATTAATGATAGAGTTCTTGAATGGAGTTTACTGTGGCCCCGGTTCTGTGCTAAGCATTTTACACAATTATCTCATATCTCCCTCATAACAGATCTAAGAGATTGGATTATTATTATAATCCCCATTTTACAAGTGAGGAAATTGACACCCAGGGAGAGAGAATCAAGATGTAAAGAGACAGGAGAGACACAAAACACCGATGGTGATAAACAGATAAACACAGACCCAGAGAGGGAAGAAAAGATAAACAATAGGGGGAGGGGAGGAGCTGAGAGCCAGGACACTGCCGGGGCCTTGAGGGGACACGACTCCTGGGTCCTGGAGGAGGAAAGACCAAGATGGGGACTCCCGGTATTTCCTGCCCATGACTCCCACACACCGTGCCGTCCA